GATGGACAGGCTGTTCTCCATTTTAGAAAAAAATTGTGCAGAAATGAATGTGTTCATGTCAAATATGGTTTAGTTATGTTAATGTTATTTTGTTCATGGTTTTGTAAATTAAGTTCAAATAAAGACATTGTTACAGAATGTAACTGAAGTGGTCATTCAGAAACTATTGAAAAAACAATTGAAACAATTTCAGAACTATTTTCAATGAATTTTATTTTGTAAAAAAATGTAAAATGATTTAAACAAAACAAAAACAAATGACTATTTAAAACAGTATTTGACTATATACAATGCTGAGCAGAGTCCCTGACAGTGCTGACAAAATGATGGGCTGACACCAAAGAAGACCTGGTTCCCCTGCAGCAGGACATCATCTGGGTGGACCTGCCATCGGTCCACTGTCCACCGCTTTGTCCATGAGCCGGGCTGGCAGACTCGACGGCAGTACTGTGATCTGATCTGTAAAGAAGAAATAAAATAAAAATTCAGTACATTGGAACATACACACATTAAGAAAACAAAACAATTATATATGTGTATATATTTTAGAATAGAATAATTTTGTGGCAGTAAAACATCTTGGTTCAATGTCACAAAATTCCTTAAATGTAACCACTACTGTACATATGTGTGTGTGTGTGTGTGTGTGTGTGTGTGTGTGTGTGTGTGTGTGTGTGTGTGTGTGTGATTTAGAATATAATTTTGTGGCAGTAAAACATCTTGGTTCAGTGTCACAAAATTATTCTTTAAATGTAACTACTACTGTATATACAATTTTCTCAGAGTTAGGAATAGGGTTAGAGCTAGAAATTGCTACATTTAAAGCTCACTAAAATGAGTATACACAAATAAATTTAAAAGAACAATTTTCTGAAACTTTAGTTGATAACAAATGCGTTTTAGTTAAATTTCAATGCTTTTTTTAAAATAAGCTAATGCACTAAACATAAAAACGTACGTCAGGGCCGCCAGGTGGCTACGTCAGTGTTTTCATATTCTTTAATCTTATTAATAAATTAAGCCTAAACAGTTCTTACCTTGTTGCAGTCTTTTGTCAGCCTAAAGTAAATGTAAGGACGTCGAGTAAAAACACTCATCTCCTCAATTATTGCCTAAAATAATAAAACTACGAGCTCCATTTCTGGCTCCATTTTCCCCGCTTTTCGGAAACGTATCACTTATCAATGTGTCACTATGGTAACGGCGCAGCGAGTGGCCACGTAAACATACGTCATCTAGACCCGTCCCAATTCACAGCCGTTTATGCAGTCGACACGAGCAGCCTACGGCCCATGTCGGCTGCAGCTGACGTCAGCTGCAACCCACGAATTGAGCCACAGCCAAAGACAAAGTGTTGGTAGTCTTATCATGTGTTCTTTCTTTAGTCTAAACAAAATGAGTAACGTTCTGACGTAAAAGGTAACACCTCCAGCAATGTAACCAGGAAGAGATGTACATTATAAGGTCAATTCATTATTATAGTAGTAAGAAGTTGTCAGTGTTTGGAGAGGCTCTGCTTCAGAGCAGGGCAGCTGTGTTTTGTTTTAGTTCAGCCCAAGGTCTTGGTGAGGCCTATGCTGCTGAGTGCTGCATGAAACTGATTGGAGTCAGTCAGAAGATCGAAAATAAAGTTTTAAGAAAAAATACAGCTGATTCCTGTTTATTCGGACATACCATTTTGAACAACGCATATTTTTCTTTCAATTATGTGTTGAATTTTAGTCATAAATAGCAATTTATTACCCTTGGGGCACAATTTGGATAATTTATCTGCAAAAAACTGATTTGGTGATAAGTTCCTCTTTAATAATAGTTTAAAACATGCAGTTGAGAGTCTTCATTATTTGACACAATGACCTGTGTTACAATTAAAAATAAATAAAGCATAAACAAAATAGTAAAAGGCACCCCTAAAGTCATTGATTATTATAAATTGTGTTACATTAAATAACCTTATCTCAGCTAAAGCAGTGAGTTTTAAAACATGATGATGGAACAACAAATGTCTCTGAAATAATTATTAAATCAAGTGTTAATTTATATAGGTTAAAGTATGTTTAAGAGCCTGTTAAAATATGCCAAAATTCAGGAAATGGCATCTATTTCGTTCCAATTTTCCTGGGGGAGGACGCACAGACCCTTAAAAGAATCCTATTTTAGTGATCTACAAATGGAACAATAGAGAGGACCGCGCTTTGAATAAATGTCAAATTGGCCTGCCACACAATTCCTACTTGCTTGGCACCGCCCCTACTTGGGGCCGAGCCTACAGATGTCCTGACAGGAAGTCTTTTTTTGTTTGGACCGCTGAGTCTTTACACAGTTGCTTCAATTCCCCTAGTTAACAACCGTTTTTTATCTGCATTTATTTCGGTGAGTACCTGTATTTTTTTTATCTTCTTTGAGTCTTCTTACGCATCAGCTATCTTAAGGCTTCCAGTATGCCGATTGTAAAATACGTTTTGGGGTATTATTTTCGTTTGGAAAAAAATGTTTCTCTGAGGGCGATTTAGTTTCATGATTTAGCAAGATTAGCATTAGCTTTGATACATCAGAAGTCTTTTTTGTAAAAGGTGGCGCGCCTTTTTGTGATTTTTCGACGAGAGGCTGTGTTTAAAATCATAGCAGATACCGAGGTATTTTTGTGTTAAACCTCTGGCATTTTGGAGCTTTGTTTCCTCCGAGCAGCCCGGGCTAACTAGCAGCAGCTCGATGTAATGCCGAAAAACGCACATCGGTCATTAAACGTTCAGTTAGTACCATTTAAATTGGTTGTTTAAAATAAATAAAAAATCTTTGGTATTGTTTAAACTCCTACGCGTCCTCATTCCTCGTTTTAAACATATACAAATATATATTACACCAACTATCCAAATACTCACGGAAAAGGAAAGTTGTCCAATTCTGTTAGAATTTGGGGACGAGAGTGAATTTTTAGGCACAACACCGGCGCATGGCAAGGCCCGAAGTTAGCTCAGGCTAATAATCGATTAGCCGGCTTTTAAATTTTCATTTATAGTTACTTGTAAAATGATATCCTTACAGACTAAAGTATTTCTAAAAACATTTAATTTGAAAATTTATCCCAGACTTATTAAAAGGCGAAAATGGCAGCAACTAATTTATATCACGACCCACCACCTCGATGGTGTCCTTTGTTTCGTCTTCAATTCTATTTACGTGGTTGCTTAATAAACACTCGCAAAATAAGTGCTTACTTTAAATGAAGACATTTTGATTCAGTTTGCGCCAGTGACAAATGAAAGGGGGGGGGGGGGTCACCATTATAGTGAGACTGCCGCACTAACAAGGCTCACATGTAGAGAAAAGCACGTAGGTGTCCATACACACCATCAGCATTTATAAGTAGGCTGCAACAACAGCATTTATGTCTATTTTTGTGTCTTCATGAACTTATCTCCTGTTTGCATTCTGAAGCAATAAAAGGAGTAGTCAAACTACAGAAATTGTGCGAATGCTTATTGCTCAAAACCTAAGCTAAAATATGCTGAAATGGAGCTGAAAATGATTTATAGTAAGCATAGCAAAAAGAAGCTAGGTTTTGCAGCTTGCTGAAAAAAACTATTTAGATTTAGTTTTATAGATGGTTTTCAAATGACAGCGACCTGCAGATCACGTGATCAAATCGCCGTATTTGTGGCTGCGAATGCGGAAGAGGGGATAGTCTACAGCACAGAAATGTATACTGACTGGATTGTTTATGTTTCTATTATGAGTTGTTTTAACAGTCATGGAGCAAGTTTGCGTTCGAGTTAGTTGCACAACCGTGCAGATAAACACTCTTAAAAAAACAGACAGCGTAGAAACACTAAGGAGATGTAGAACTGTCGGCAAAGCGGCGTGATTTTGTGGCTGGCGATCAACCACAAAGATTTCACCCTTCTCTGGATTCCAGAGTGTGTTCAGATCACTCCTACCATGGCTAGTGACTGCATAGTACGTTAATTTAAAAAAATGAATAAGATTGCGCACTATGAACAGAAAAGTTCTGAATATTATGCAATCTACGTAAACACGAACATAGGATACACTGACAGTATCAGATTATAATCACAAAAAGCTCCTTATTATGCAGTATGTACTAGGGTTGGGTATTGAAAGGGTTTAAATCGATACCGGTGCTAAATCGATACTTTCAAAATGGTACCGGTTCCTAAACAGTATTTTAATCGGTACTTTAAAAATAAATAAATAAAACACACACACTCACACAGAGCTTTATGAAACAATGACTATTTCTGAGGCAAAGTCAAACTTGAAATTGACCAACATATTAAATTAAAACCATTAATAATTTGTCTTTGCACCAAATATTCTTAAAACATTTCAGTGTTTCCCCTACCATTATACAGCCC